AAAAAAAAAAAAAAAATCTTTACACCCAACATGGGGCTCAAACCCACAACCTCACAGGCTCCACCGAATGAACCAGCCAGGCACCCCTATATTGTCTGTTGTTGAAAGGAGACCAAACATTTCAACAAACGTGGCATTATTTTGGGTAATTTTTTTTTTTTTTTAAGTTGGCTCCCCCAACGTGAGGCTTGAACCCAGGACCCTGAGATTAAGAGTTGAATGCTGTACCGACTGAACCAACCAGGCACCCTTACCTTGGATAATTTTTAAATTGACTCTTAAAAACTTAGAATACAGTGTATGTTGATCAATTTAATATTTTTTAATGTTGAACATTTTGACCAAACAGAAGCCAATTTAGTATTGTTTCTTTACTGTGTTTTTGAAGACAAACCTATTAAATAGTTATATACTGCAGCTTGTAGCAGTCGAACACAATTTCTTAGCTTTCTGTTCTCATTTATTTTAAACTTAGGTTCTCTTAATTCTTGAGAAATTATAAATGAGTTAACTTAATCACATAACTAGTGACCGTGTAATTTTAGAAATTGATATTTTCTGTATATTACTGGAAAATATTCCATAGGTTCTCTGAAAACCTGTATGTATCTAAGGCTCGATGTTGTTGAAAAGGAAATATTACCTAATTGTGGTTTGATTCTTTTTTAACTACTAAATGTCAGATAAATGTTTCATCTTGAATACTTGAAAACTGTAGGAAATGTGTTATTTTGGAAAGAGTAGAGAAAATCAGGACATCACCTTTACCAGCTGAGTTTTCATGGATATGAAGAGTTAGACACTGCCTTTTTTTTTTTTTTTTTAATTTGGGAGTTTCCAGTCTTCTCAGTATAGAAGAGTAATGTAGAGTTGTAATACTTGATTGAGTTCTCCTTTGTTGAATTGGAAGATAAATTTATGTCTTGTTTCTAAAGTGTGCTCTCCTTATATAAAAATGATAGAGATGGTAAGTCCGCCCTTCTGAGGAAGGGAGCATGATTTGACTTTATTTTACACCCATAATCTATGGAATGATTATTTGGTAATTAATAATCAATGCATAGTATTGTATTTAACTCTTTGTTATTCAGGACATAAGCTTAAACATTTGTTTTCCCCGTATTATTCTTTGGCTAACTGAATTTTTGATGGGGAGTTGCTTCCCTTTGCTGCTTCCCTCTTTTTTTTT